GCATTATTAGAAGGATTTTTCCCCAAACTAATGCAGTTTCATCTTAGTTAGGTCTTGAATTTCTAATTGCTCCTTACACTTGAAAGGAAATTTTGTTTGCGTTTCTATAATTCATTTATTCCCTATTTCCTCATAACTAGCTCTCATGAATAATATCTGTTAAGGAAGATATCCTGGGTCCCAGGCTCCTTTAAAACAGATCAACTCAAATCTTTCTTCCTCAAACTATCTGCTTCCTGATTTATAGCCCATTGTGTTCGTTGACTGAGTATATACTGTAGAAAGCAAGGGGATTTAGAACATGCTTGATCAAAGCAACGTATGGTAATTCCACAGTCTCGACCCTCATAAGTACAAAGGGTAGACTAGCTTCCTTAGGGTGGAAGACTGCCGAATGACCACCCAGTCTTGGTTTATATGGTGGAGACTTTATCTTTATCCCATGCTGTCCTTTGGACTTCCAGGAATTTGCTTTCTGGTTTGGTCACAGAAACTTGTGTCACTTTGAGAATGGCTTCCCAGCATTAGTCAGTTTGATCTGCATCTGCGTGTCATTTAGAGAATAGTGTCCTTGGAAATCAAGGAGGGTCACACAGGCTTACACAAGCTATGTGCATAAAGTACTTCCCACAATAGCAACCCTGGAACTTATGAGGGTGCTACTGATCTGATCATACCCACATCCACAGTCTAGTTAAATAATGCAAGATAAAATTGTACGTTTTAAATTTAAAAACAAGAATCATTCATTACTTCTTCATCCCAGAGCAGCTTATTGAGCATCTGCCTTAAACCAGGCACAGGCTGGTGTAGAGTGCAGCAGGGAATAACACAGACCCATTCGCTGCCCTTCTAGTCTAGCAGGAATTGCAAGCATTGGTTTGTTAATGTTGACCCGGCACTGTCACAGTGTCTGTAACTTTGGGTTTCATGAAGGTCCCTAGGAAGGTGACCTCTAATATTAGATTAGGGGCAAGGCTTCAGCTTCTTGTGTACTAGCTGACATTGCTCACAAGAGTGGCTGATCCCCTTCCCTACCACCAAAGCAGTCTGTTGGTACTGTCTCTTCATCATAAGAAAGGAAGCCTTGGAGAAAGGATGAGCTGGAGTGAAGGTATTATTAAACGAGAAAGCTTATCACCACACAGAATGAGTAAAATCATTTGAATATGTTCAGCGTCACTGCTGTGACAAAACCAACTCAGGATAAATGGGTAGTCTTGGTTTTGAACTTACAAAGCAGAGGCTCAACTGCCAGTCAGTGGTGACTAACAGCTTTTGTTTGGAAAACAGAGATGATGTCAGCCAGCACTGGTCCACTGATCACTGACTTCAGCCCTCTTGCCCCATCTACTTTTGCCCCGTCCTACTGTTCATTGTTTAATACATTTTCTCTTAACATTCCAAAGTCTAACAACCCCGTGGGAATACTCAAACTCCCATTTCATGGATCTGAACATCAAACCTCAGAACCAATTTGATCAGTCTCCCACAGCTGCTAACACAAAGTCATCCTGCAGCCCAGACCCTCAGGCTCCAAACCCATGCTCTTTCCACTCTCTCACAGCTGTCTACTTACAAATTTTCAGTTCTTCTTTCTTTCTGCTTATTGTATCAACACATCCTGGTAGGACACTGTCTTACAACCTGCTGGTTTTCTCCTGGGGCTCTAGAAGCAACCAGAGATGATCATCCAGGAGCTGACTTTAGCTCCTCTCCTTCCACCTCCAGCCCCTGCCTCCAGATGCAGGTTTCCCACCCAGATCCGCTGGCCCCAATCCTCCACAGCCTCCTGCACAGCAATCCTATAGCTCTCATGGAGGCCTATGGATCTAATTTTAGAACTAGAGAATACGTGAGTGGTACACACTGAGGTTTTTTAGGAGTCTATTAATATTTTTTGCTGAGGACATCCAGAATTTTAACTTGATTTATTTCAAGATAAATTATCCCCTCAGGAAGATACCCTTTCCTTGCTCTTCCCTTCCACACTTCCCATCCCCAGAATAGGTTTGTTTTCTGGGTTTTGTTGTTGCTGCTATTCTACACCCTAGGGCAAGACAGGTGCTCAAAGACAGGAATATTAATAACTAGCAGCAGCCACCGTTGGTCACTCCAAGAAGGTCAGGGGGGAAACAGAGTCAGTTCTCCTTGACCTCTGTTGGGATTAGCAGTGCTCCCTAAGATCCTTCTGCAGAAGGGGACTGCTGTACAAATGTCTACATGGGAGCCCATGCTTTTTTAAGTCCCCTGATTTTATTTCAGGGCGTGTAGTCTTGCTCTTTTAGGGGCGAGAGAATTATCATAGACACAAGGCAAAAACTGGGGAAAATTAGTTTTAAGACATTAAAATAAATAAGAAATTAAAATATGAAAGTCTCTGCATCTGGAAACTTAATTCTGCCATTTATGTTTTAAAAAGCCAAACCATCTCTGTTCAAAATGTTTCTTTCCTTTAAGAGGTCAATGGTGATAACATAAAAATGAAACTCTGAAAATAAACATACTTCTAGATCAGCTTTGTTAGGAGTCACTCCTAGTATATTAAAAGGAACCAATCAGTTGATAAAATATCAAACTTAAACAGAAACATTAAATAAGGCAAAAATAATGGGCATAAACTGAAAAACCTTCGGTTTCAAAATTAGTGGCAACATTTTTTCCAAGTTGGTAGTTTTCCAATATAAGATCTCACACATGATACAAGGATACCATGCATCATTAACCATGGATTTTCAAGTACCACCTTAATAGTAAAATATACAAAAAACTCATTCAGTTTTTTCTCATGTTCTGATGTGTTCCTTTCCCACAAATTCTCAAATCAAATTCTCTACTATAAGCTAGGAATGATTGCTTATTTAATCAGATCAGAGTATATCAGAGACCCAGTTTGCTTTTGGATGGTTCTGCTATGATGGTGATGGCACTTACAGCCTGGAAGAATCTTCTGCAGTCTGAGCAGCCTTTTTACAAAAAGGAACTGATCTCTAAAGGAGTTATAAAACCAAACTGTGGCTGAAATGAAACTCCAGAGAAAGGGTTGCCATTTTCCTTCCAATCAATAGGACATATTTAGCCTTGTCTGAAAGCCAGTTATTTTTATAGATGCACACCCCCTGTAACTCTATGTGAATCTAGGGTTGCGCAAGACAACTGACCACCTAGTAGTCATGGGAAGCCATCAAATAGCCTCTGCTGCCTCTTTCCTCTTGCCTGTCCCATCTCACAGCAGCAGCACCCCGACTTTCATCTTAACACCCCCCCAACAGTCTTATAAAGCTAGGCATTTCCTTCTCCTACTGCTCTCATCACTTTCTACAATTGCCTGAGGTAGTAGAGGTAAAAGACCTCTCATTTTGGTGAGAGTTTTAGGAGGAAGCAAGCCTTGAATTTGCTGGATACACAAGCTCTTGTTCTTAACTACTAAGCCCCAAACTTAAGGAAAGAACAAGCCAGGTCATCTTCCCAGCCAGATAAGCACAAAGGAAATATTAGTAGACATTATTTTTTTAGTCCTCTGAACAATTCACCAAGCAGTTTTAAATAATGCATAAATACTCACATATAAGACATATTTTCCCCTTAATTGGATTGTTTTTGTGTGAACTTAGCCATCAGATATTAAAAGGCCCATTTTCACTTTAATTGTACTGCAGTTCTCAAAACCCTCCCAAAAAGACACACATGCAATATGGGAAAATATCTGGATACTTGTGAAAACAGCATCTGTCTCACCAAGGACTATAGAAAACACTGGAAGCTACTGACCTTCTCACCCCAGGACCTTCACCCTGCACTACCTGCTTTGAAGCCATTCTCGGGGGACAGGGCCTGAGTCAGTTCATGGCCCCAGCCCAGCCTTGTCTCCAGTGGCTCTAGTTCAGACCTTGGACCTAGCTGGGCCAACTGTCTCCTTGGAAGCCTCTGATGACAAAGTAGACAAATCAAACTCAGAGAACCTGGATAGAACAGAACTTCACTGGGAAGGTGGAGTCAATCATTGGTTCATCCCATCAGTGTCCATGTGAGGAAGAAAGAAAAGTGGCAGGGAGACCCATGAGAGCAAACATGGTTCTTGGTCCAGACTTCAGCACCCTGCCTGATGTGGTCTCCAGGGTGCAGTAACTGGCTGGGAAGGAGAAATGGCAGACACCAAGGCAGTCATCAAAAGCTGCCCTTTACTTTGTCACTAACATGAAGGGAAAGACCCACGTGCAGGCTTACAGACTCATAATCTTGGAATTTTCCCCTTGAAATTGCTTTAGGCTGAATATTAGAGTGAATAAATTGCCAAAATGGCTTTATAATATCAGGTCACCCAATATGCTTTTCTTCATCACATTGCTCACATCCACTCAATCCGCCACGGCAGAACACCTCGCTTAGTGGATACTCAGAAACGTTAGATCAGAGTTCAGCACTGAAGTCCATTTCTCTTCAGGACCCTGAATATCTCTGCTCTCCATGGCAAAGGCTCAGGTAGGAAGGTAACAGTGAAAATCGGCTCTTTTATGGAAAAAAACCATCCTAAAAGACACATTCAAGTCATTATAAACACAATTACAGCTGGGATTGAGTAGCTGCTGCCGCGCATTTGCCAGTTCTGACCCTTCTCTTGAGTAGCTCTCCAGCATGTCATTTCATCTCTCTGGGTCTTGGGACTCTGGATGTAAATGCGGACGCAGGTTAGATAAGTTCCATTTCCTCCAGAACAAGTTCACTCCTCTGCTCCATGGTTCTGTAACTAGATTTACACTGAAACCTGTTGGATTAGGCTCCAGGGATCCCCTTTCCCCAATGCTTTCCACGTTAGTAGCTGGGTTTTCAAGAACCATAGTATTTTGAAAGGCCCTGTGATAAATGAGGGTCAATATAAAAAAAGTATTGCTCTTCATAAATTAGTACTTACCAGTAGCTGAAACCCTTAAGAGAAAAGAAAATTCAAAACGAAGCAAAACAAAACCCACACAATAAGTTTCTTTCTCTTTAAAGGGCAACCGCCAAGGATGCAGAAGGCCATGAAGATGATCAAAGACGAAGATATGCACTTCAACTTGGGTGTGAAGAGCAGCTCTTCCTTTCCCCATGGCCTGCAGCCAGTGGTCTCCCGAGGGAAGGCTCCCCAAAGACACCCCTTCCCAGAAGCTCTCCGGGGGCCATTTTCCCAGTTTCGCTATGAACCTCCTCCGGGAGATCTGGATGGATTCCCTGGGGTCTTCGAAGGGGGTGGATCCCGGAAACGGAAGAGCATGCCCACGAAGATGCCCTACAGCCACCCAGCCGAGGAAGCGTCCCTTGCACCCCACTCTGAGGATGGCAAGAGCCGTGGCCCCCCGACATTGCCTCTGCTCTTCTCGCCGCCGCGCCCCAAGTGTGACTCTCAGATGATCGACCTGTGCAACGTGGGCTTCCAGTTCTACCGCACCCTGGAGCACCTGGGCGGCAAGCCGGTCAAGCAGGAGCCCCTGAAGCCCAACGCCATATGGCCCCAGCCCGCGGCCCCTCCCTTCCTGCCCACGCCATACCCCTACTACCCCAAAGTCCACGCGGGCCTCATGTTCCCCTTCTTCGTGCCCTCCTCCTCCCCCTTCCCCTTCGGCCGGCATGCCTTCCTGCCCAAGCAGCCCCCTGAGCCAGCATTACCCCCAAAAGCCGAGCCCCAAGACAGCGAGGAGACCAAGCAGAAGGTGGAGAGGGTGGACGTGAACGTCCAGATCGACGACAGCTACTACGTGGACGTGGGCGGGGCTCAGAAGCGCTGGCAGTGCCCCACCTGCGAGAAGTCCTACACCTCCAAGTACAACCTGGTGACCCACATCTTGGGTCACAATGGGATCAAGCCGCACGCGTGCACCCGCTGTGGGAAGCTCTTCAAACAGCTCAGCCATCTGCACACCCACATGCTCACGCACCAGGGGACGCGGCCCCACAAGTGCCAGGTGTGCCACAAAGCCTTCACCCAGACCAGCCACCTGAAGCGTCACATGATGCAGCACAGCGAGGTGAAGCCACACAACTGCCGCGTGTGCGGCCGGGGCTTCGCCTACCCCAGTGAGCTCAAGGCCCACGAGGCCAAGCATGCCAGTGGGCGGGAGAACATCTGCGTGGAGTGCGGCCTCGACTTCCCCACCCTGGCCCAGCTGAAGAGGCACCTCACCACGCACCGGGGCCCCATCCAGTACAACTGCTCCGAGTGCGACAAGACCTTCCAGTACCCGAGCCAGCTGCAAAATCACATGATGAAGCACAAGGACATCCGGCCCTACATCTGCTCCGAGTGTGGCATGGAGTTCGTGCAGCCCCACCACCTCAAGCAGCACTCGCTCACCCACAAGGTACGACGGGACTTCCACCCAGGGGCGGCTGCTGGGCCTTGGGGGAAAAGAGCAGAGACCCTGCTCTGGGAGCCAGGAGACCTTGCCTCAGCCCAAGGCCATGCCCACTTTCCAACGAGAATGAATGACAAGACTATAGACTATTAATCAAGCCCTTTCCCCTAGCTAGCTTTCTAGAGTCCAAAGTGGGCTTGGAGAAGAACAATGCAGACATTAGGGGAGGAGAATGAGGAAGGATGAAGGAAACAGCTGGTGGTGGTACTGTTGCTGCCTAGGCCCCAAGAATCCCTGAAATTTTGTTTCTAGAAACTTCATTCAGGGCACTAGTGAGAGTGTGTCCACAGACCCTCATCATCTCAGTGCCTGGGATTTCCCAGTGAGAGTCTTCCTCTAGAAAATTCTCTTGATCTTTGGGTGTGTTTGCTCCTACCACTGTGAAACCTGCTTCCTGTGCAGGTTCTGAGGGGGACCAGAGTTTGCCCCAGTCTGGCAGGGCCAGTCCTTCTCCCGGTTGAGTGCCTGCCTTCTTGGCTCAGTGGCTCATTTGTAGGAATCATGTGAGAACAGCCTAGGTTCTGAGTTCAGCCTAGATTGCAACCCAAGTTCTGGAGTCCTTCCGTCTGAACCAAACAAGGTCCTAGTGGCATCCCTGAAATCTCATTTGAGTCTGCTTTGATCTGCCAAGAGAGGAGTTTCTCCCCACAGCCCTCTACCCTCACCCTCAGTGGTTTCCTTGGCAGGAAAGACTTTGGGCAAGCCAGAATTTCTAAAGCATTCTGAAAGGTCAGTGGAGGACTTTGTCCCACTAGAAAATCCTTCTGCTCTGCACTAGAGACTTTGATTTGTTAGGTTAGGACAAACCACGGGACATCTCTGGCTCTACAGCAGAGATGCACTATGGGGCTGCCTTGTGGGATCTATACAAGCAGCTCATGCTTGATAAAAGCACCTGTAGATACCAGCAGAGGGGAGTCCCCTGCCAAGGGCAGGAATCATCAACAAAGGACCTGGACTTAGATTCTGTCACAAAGGAGCTGACAACTCACTTACTTCAGGGGCTGCTGTATATGTGCAAAAGGTGCATTTTAGAACATATGGATTCTGTAGGATAGTGGGAAATGAAGTCAAATGGGAGAACAGCCTGCTGTCTGAAATAAGTTTTATTTGAATTAGGAAACAAAATGCATTTTAATTTGAGGGACAGCAAACACTGAGAGGTAGGAGTTATTGAATGCTTGCTCTGTGGCAGGTGCTTTACTTCACAGTGAATTATTTACTTCTCAACAACTCTGAGAGCTACTCCTGATTTGCAGATGAAGAAACCAAGACACCAAGGCATGGGGACGTCACTCAGGAATCCTGACAGCAGCAGCTCAGTCTTAAACACTGAGTGCTTGACTCCTTTTTTCCCCTCCTTTTCCCCATCTTATCCCTAGCCACATCTACAGGTTTCCCATCCAGGATTTCATGGGTCCTGTCAGAGGTGCAGCAGCTTTGTTTATGCCCCAAGGTTGTGTTCAGGCTGCTATTGTCTTGTCTTCTATGCTAGTCCATATGGAGGTCTTCCTTTGGACACAGAATTCTCTCTAAACAATTTCAAAAGCAGCCAAGTGTGGTGGCTCACACCTGTAATCCCAGCTATTTGGGAGGTGGAGACAAGGATCAGAGTTTGAGGCCAGCCCAGACAAAAAGTTAACTCAAGACCCTATCTGAAATACAAACTAAAAGCAAAAGGACTGGGTGTGTGGCTCAAGTGATAGAGCGCCTGCCTAGCAAGCTTGAGATTCTGAGTTCAAACCCCAGTACCAAAAAAGAATTCCAGAAATAGCAGGATAATTAGATCACAGTCAAGGCTAGAAGGTGATTTGTGGGTTTTTTTGGGTGCTGGGATATAACCCAGGGCCTTATGCATACTAGGCAGACACTGTACCCCAAACTCAATCATCTAGACACCAGATGCTGTAGTAAATCTTGAAAGCCCATCATGAAATTATTTTTTATTGATTTCATCATTTTAAACTCAATGACTATTTAATACATTTTTAAATTCATCTTCTGAAAGGGCATTAAAAGCTAATTTTCAAAGGAGGTTGATCCCTACGTCCTTTTGTTAGCATAAATCCATTCTCATCTGCAGTCGTTATAGCAGAAAGTGTTTGATCTAGACTGAACCCAGGGTTCTCATGATCCACTTTCATCTGAAGAACACGAGCCTTCACCAGGAAAGGCCACAGGTCTCACCTGTGGTTTCACAGTCTCAGGCAGTCGATGGACAGAGCTCTGAACCCACCTTTTTGTGCCTTGGGCTTACCAAAACTAAGGAGTGGCGCTCTCTTACCGTGGCCCAAATGAAATAAATGCAAGTGTAGGCAGCGTCAGAGCTGAGCTTGGAATCCTTCCCCACTCAGGTCACTGTGGACACCTGGCGATACGGGTTTTATAGTCTGTTAATTTAGCAGCTTGTTCTAATCCTGTAAGAACCTCCCCTTAATGCTCTCACTCTTTGAGTTTTCTTTTTCAAAAGCCATTCTGGCACATGTCTGTAGTCCCAGATACTTGGGAGGCTGAAGCTGGAAGATCATTTGAGCCCACAAAATCAAAATCAGCCTGAGAAAATAGTGAGACTTCCATTTCTGAGTCTGTTCTGGATCTGATCTCTTGCACAGACCTTTTCAGGGAAGTGATGGATAGTCAGGATTAACTAAAACTCTACTCAAGCTGTGAACCACTGCAAATGCTCTGAACTGACAGCACTAACCCTCTATATTCAAACGCCTCCCCACAGAGAGCAAGGAAACCAGAGAGCCTTCTGTGTTGTTTTTTGATTCAGGAAGCCATCAGTCCCCTGCCAAATTTCTCTATCAGAAGTATCTGGATTAGAGGAGGCTCCAGAACTATGTCACTCAGGTTGGCATGGCCTGTGGGAATCCAGGAGACCAACTGGAGAGGGTGATTATGAGGTTGTAATTGATTGAAGATGAGTGGTTCTTCTGGGATTTTTGGGTCCATTAGTGACAACTCGAGAGGACACTGGCTTTCCTGTGGGAAATGATAATATCAGTTTAAAAGATTTTAGGTTTTCATTATCTTGAAAGCTGGATTATAGACTCATTTCACATATCATCCACAGTGCTCTTAGCAAAACCCTGTTAATCCTTTCAAACGGTTATTATAAAATTAACTCCAGCAGCAGCAAGAACAACAAAAGCAACAGCTTTATTTTCCTCCTGTGGTCTAGCTAGTTCAGAAGAAAAAAAAACACAAATTATGTAACATTTTTCAAGGAACTAATGATTTAACAAGGCTAAAGCTATGCCATTTGGAACTTAACTTCTATGCCAAGTTAACCCTCATGAAAGCCTGTTACCTGTAGATCACTAATTTCTTTGAACCTTGCCTACCCCCAGGGCGTGAAGGAGCACAAATGTGGGATTTGTGGGCGAGAATTCACCCTGCTGGCCAACATGAAGAGACATGTGCTGATCCACACCAACATCCGTGCCTACCAGTGTCACCTGTGCTACAAAAGCTTTGTGCAGAAGCAGACCCTCAAGGCACACATGATCGTCCACTCCGATGTGAAGCCTTTCAAATGCAAGGTGGGCACAAAGGGAGGACCCAGAGGGTTGTGCAAATGCTCATAGGCAAGAGTCCCCAGGGAACTTTCTACTCTGTCTCTTGGGTGGGGCTACCCAGGCTCAGCATAGGTACATGGCCAACTTCAAGTCACATCTGCCACCCTCTTTCCACCATATTGTGCTCACAGCAGCCTTTGGCTGGTCTCTGAGGACCCTGCCTTGTTTGTGTTATGGTGGTATCATATCAGTGCCTGGAGGGTGGAGGTAGGCAATCAGGGAAGGTCTGAGGGCGGAGCCCATTTGGAGAAGAGGTTGTGGGGAGGATGAAGGTGATGTCTGCACTCCTGTTCTAGAGCACAGAAACCAGATATGGTCCTCTTGTGTTTACAAGTCAATAAATGGAACACAGAAAGGAGTCAGAGAAATGTCTAACACAGCCCCCTGTCTCTTCCTCTGCCTGACACTTGGGCTGAACCTTTTCATTTGAAGGTAGACATCCCAGGGAGGACGAAAGGGGTTCTGGCATGCTGATTTCCTTCCCTTTGCAGGTGTGTTCAGTGGTGAGATTGCTGGATCTTATGATATGCCACGCTATTCCAATATGTATGGCAATCAACCACTTTGTATGCCACACTATTCCAGTATGTATAGCCAAGTATGGAATCACCCTAAATGTCCATTAAAGGATGAATGGATGGAGGAAACATGGAATATTATTCAGCCCTAAAAAGAGAAATCCTGGCATTTGTGGCACCATGGATAAACCTGGAGAACATCATGTTAAATAAAATAAACCAGGCACAGAGAGACCAATGCCACATGTTCTTCTTCAGTGTGGAAGCTACATAAGTTCACCTCATAGAAGAAAAGTGGTCATCAGAGGCTGGGAAGGGGAGCAGGAAAGGGAGACAATTTGACAGATAGGACAAATAAGTTCTAGCATTCTATAGCACAGCAAGGTGACTAGTTAACAAAAATTTATTCTATGTTTCAAAATAGGCAGAGGAAAGATTTTGAATGTTTCCGACCCTAAGAAATGAAATATGTTTGAGATGATGGCTATGTAATTAACCTGACCTGAGCATCACACATTGTATACAAAAATCCAAGTATCACACTCTATGTACTTACACTATGTGTAAGTATTATGTATCACTTTAAACTATTATTTAAAATAGAAAAAAAAGGGATTCCAAAACTGGCCCTTCAAAAGACCTCAGAAATACTTGCTTGGGCTTCATCATCCAAGAAACCGTGTTTCTTGGAGCTGGAGATTTGTAAGACCCAAGGCTGACTGAAGCACTCAGCCTGCCAGGCGGCCCCACCCCAGTGCGATTTCCTTCTCCACTTCTAAAATGAGTTGGAGTCTTGCTCAGCATTGGGTAGTTTAAGGACTGTCCCAGCAAGTGTCATCCCGGTCACGAACAGAGGCCTGGGGTGGGAGGGAGGGAGAAGAAGAGGGAATTACCGCACTCAGACATCAGTGGAGGGCTTCTGCTTGAAATGGAAGATTCCCTCTCCTGCCAGTGTGTCTGGTGGGGTGTGGATGACACTCTCCTTGGATGTGTATGCCTGAAGTGGGGTTCCCTGCTCTGACGGGCTGTTGCTGCTTCCATCCCTCTGCAGCATGGCCCCCACTTGAAGGAACCCCCTGTGAAGTTGACTTCTTTCCTGTGTTGGCAACTCCTGGACAGGGTGAGGGGTCAGGAACCAGAGCTTCCCTAGACCATGTGGGCATTGTCCAGAGGCAGGAGAGGGAGACTTCTCCCCCCAGCCCTTTTCCTGCCACCCACTTCTGTTTCCCCTCCTTTTCTCCAAGGTCCTGGTGGTTTGAGAGTCAATTTATGTTCATCTTGAGTCAGCCAGGCTAAAAGGGGAGGAAGCAGCATGCAGGATGGACTGAATAATTTTCAATGTAAAATGGAAATACAAAGCCCCTTACTCAGACATTATTAAGAATTCCAGACAATGAAAGCATTAAATCAAACTCAGGACCCTCTGGGGTGGGGACAAAGGGCTCTGTGTCACACCTGTGCAACCCAGAGCTCCTCTTCTCTCTAGGCACTTCTCAATTTGCTTCCCACTCCATTGAGCCCTAGAGTGTCACATTTAACATCTGTTCCCTCCTGCAGAGGGTTACTGTCTCCTACAGTGGAGGTGCAGGCAGGGCCTCTTTGCCATTCTTCATTCCCTGTGTTGCATTTACTCTTGGGCCTCAAGCATGGACTATATTTTTACCTTCTCACCTATTGGTGGAGTACAGTTGTTACTATATAAAAGAGCAATGGCCTTGTTTTCCCCCTTAAAAAAATCCACACCTGTCCGGTCCAGCCATCTCCCATGTGTTCCTCATCCATTCTGATCTCATAATAGTGGTATGACCAGGTAGAAAATGACCCTGAAATGACGGGGTATGTATTGGCAGAGCCATACAGGCTGTGTGACACTTGGGAGGCATCGGGATACTTTTGCTTCTCTGCCTTCAAGAGCCTGGAAGATTTCTTGGGCCTGGTAGTACCTGATGATCTAGAAAATTCTTCCGGATACCAGTAGACAGAAAATTGCACAGAACAATACCCTGGGCATGATGGTGCAGTGAGCCATCCTAGCTGGATGTCTGAGGCTTCCATTCACAAATAACTGCGTCCTCCTTCACCACAATGACAGTATACCATACAGGGTTCAAAGAGCAGCGTTATGTTTAAGAAACTCCATTTTACCTACTCCCTGAGGGTTGACCAGGCTCTGAATGTGTGGCCCACACCATCAGACCCCGTAAGAGTGTTTGCAAAGTGCACTGTCAACTTTGAAATGATCCCAATGGGAGAGGGGCCTGGCACTGAAATGGGAATTCATCCTGGTGGGTAGGTCCTCTCAGGACCTTCACACTGTAGGTGATGAGGTTGCCTAGAGATTGTCATCTATTATTAAATGGAAAGAATTGATTGTTGAAAGGCACTTTGTTCGATTTAGGTGGTCCTTCTCCATTCTTACACATTTCTGAAACAACAGTGGGTGTCAGTCACCTCTGACCCAGTGCCCTCCTGGAAAGTACCAGAAGTATACTTCTTCTCCCTGTCCCCTTCTCCTTGCAATGTGTCAACGTAATTGATGGCCTTTCTGGATCATCACCTTTCTTCATCTTAAAAGACTTTCAAAGCATGTCTGAACTTACAACTTATACGAGGTTCTTCATGTTTGTAACAATTGTTGAATGAACCACCTTGAGATGGTGAATGTGGGCCTAACTTCCCATCTGCGTTGTGCATGATTCTTGGAAATACGGCCCAGGTGAAAACTGTAGAAGTTGGGGGAGATCATTTGCTCGTTGTTATGCAATCTACAGTCAACCAAGACAAATGGCTGACTGGCCACAGTGATGATGGAAAACAGGCCCCGACAGCTGCACTGGAGTTTGATGGTGTAACAAAGAAGAGTTATCTCCTTCCCATGACTGATATGGTTGGAAAAGAGAGGCAGGCCTTGCTGCAGCCGTACTCCCAAGAGTTAGCACTACCATCTTTATCCAAAATCTTTCAAAGAAGAAAGATTGTTTTAGTAACAGATTCTAATTTCTTGGATGTTCACTATTAACATTTTCTCCTCACATAAATCCTTTCTCGTCTTGCAGCAAGGCCCTGCACTCAGTGGAAACACATGTCTCCCAGAGAGCAGAGTGTCCGTGAACTGTGGGATTAGGCACTAACAATAGGATGGAAAATTAGAGGAGAGGAAAGTCCATTCTACGTTTCTTTCTTTATTTTTTTTCTTATATATAAAAAAAACTACTGCTCTTCTGGGCTCCTTTGCTATTGGCTCAACTTCTGGACTCCTTGCTCCTTGGAGCCAGCTGGAGTTTGTCCAGAGACCTGTGCCTGTAGACTTAAGCCATGTTTCAGAAATATGCTTCCCAGATTCTGCGTAAGCACGCAGAGGTTGATTTGGATTCTCTTCTTGTAGTGGCCGCAGTCCATAATACCAAAGAACCAGCTGCCGTCTTTGGAAAACCTGTCCAGGAAAAGCAGCCATCCAGAATTTCCGGGACAAATTCTCTTTTGAGATGGGTGAAGCCAGGAGCTGCCTATGTTATGAATCACCAGGTCATCTGCAGCCTTTTCTGCAGCAGAGGGCTAAAGGCTGAGGGCAGAAGGGGGGTGAGGTCTCCCTGAAAAGGGCCTCCACTTCTGCCAGCTGGGTCTGTTGCTCTCTCAAGTACTTTGATGTTCCAAATGTGGCGACTCCAGATGGGGTGCCTGGGTGAGGCCCCGGATGCTTGGGGTCATAGTTTTCAGGCTGGCATGGAGAGGGTTAAGGCAGTGACCAGATAGGAGCCTTTTGGCAGCAAAGTCCTCCTGGGCAGAAGGAAGGATATAGCTGTATGAACTGCCTGCTTAACAATGCCTCCCATGTCCCCAGGGGCCTGCCTGCAAATAGATTTCATCTTGCTTTCTCTTGTACTTTTCAAAGCTTCCTGTTTTCTCACGGTCCTTTTGGACAGTTTACAGTCTCTCTCTCCCTCCCTCCCTCCCTCCCTCTCCCTTTGAGGAAGGGAACACCCTTCTTATTAAAGGAGAGAGAGGGAGAAGAATGCAAGGGAAGGCCAGTTCAGGGAGGCCATTCTCCTGGGCTGCAGGCTGCAGCTCTTTGACCTTTCCTCTCCAAATCGGAAGGCACGGGCTTCCTGGGGCATCTCAGCTCTGAAGCTCACCTCAGGTGGCTGTGATTCTTGGCCTTCCAGGCCTCTGACCTCAGCCAAGTGGCTGCCACTGCCATCATCCTGTCTCTACCCACGCTGACCCCTCTGTGACAGCTGCTGGCTCTCAGCATTGTCGCAAAGGCTCAGGGGAAGAGAGTGCCTGAGGGGTCCCTAGGCCCAGGACCTCGAAGGTAAAGGGCACCAGGAGATCAGAACAAGGAGGTCCGAAGCAAGCTGGGCATCTGCCAGCTGTTTCAAGGGCAGTCCGAGGACTGGGGAGTCAGATGGCAGGCTCACCCAAAGCCTGCAGTGTAGGATGAATCTCTGCCCTCCATCAACACTTCCAGGACTGGGTCGGCATTTCTCTGAGACCCCTTCAGCCACCTGGCAAGTGTTCACTCAGAGAATTCCTCATTTGGCACTTCCTCTGATGTTCCCTCCAAATAATGTGCTTTAAAAGGGCAGAGAGCAGCCTCATCTTCAAAGATCTTTCTACTCCTGGAATGTTGAAGAGACTACTATGCACTCAGTAATGATAGAATGGGAGCTAATATTTATTGAGCTGTTACTATTTGCCAGGCACTTTTCCTGAATTATCTCACTTGATCCTTTCCACAACCTTCATAAGAAACTCTGGTTATTATCGACACAGTTCTCACTATCATCTCTCTGCTCCATTTTCACAAAACCTAATAGTCCATGCAACCCATTTATATATATATATATATATATAAAATGCTGGGAATTGAACCCAGGCCTTGAACATACTAGACGAGCACTTTACCACTGATATGCAACCCATTTTTAAAGGTCAGTTAAATGTATTTGTTTCCATTTCTATTAGATTAGGAGGTCCATCTTCCTCTTAAAAGTGGGTGGACAGAGAAGCTGGGGTTTACCGTCAGAGGTGCTCAGCAGAGAGGATAAGCAGAGGCAGCTGGCTGAAGCCACCACCTGGAAGATAAAAAACTCCATCAGCTTCCTGATGGACTTTGCAGGTCTTGATAGGAGATAATTCAGCAAGTCCCAGCTCTTAGCTTTACATCTCATGATTAAAGGAAGCCCACACTTAAATGACTGCTTAGCCCAGAGAAGAAACTAGCGTTTTGATGCTCCTGCCCAGCCATTCTTCTTTCTAGTGTAGCTCTCCTCTCCAACTGCAGCAATACTGTTTGGCGCTAACATCTCAGACTCCACCCCAGGATGCCATGATTACCTGGCCTTGCCTTCCACTAACAATCTGAGAGGTCTTGAATATCAGAGACATAAAAATTCTTCTATACTTCTGCATTGTCATGGGAGGTTAATCTGAGAAAGATGAAGGGTCCAAGTGTTCTGGACAAGGACCCAAGGGCTTTGGGGAAGGGTCTGGGTCTGAGAGGAAGAAGCTAGGTACTTCCCACTGAGTTGTGGGTGGAGCCGAACACAGGCCTCAGGCCCTGTTGCCTACGAATATGCATAGGGTTAATGAGGAAAGGAAGGGAACTGGTAATGGCAGCTTTTTTGAATTTTGTATTGGGTAATTATATTTTCCTAACAAGTTTATTTATTCTCTTAACCAAATGCTTAGTATACTAAGCACTAAGTTCACTTAGTATAGTAGTTTGTGCCCTGGTGTTTAATAGTGAGGTTGGTTTTAAAGAAACTGGAGGTAGTTCTTGCATGGGTGATAACCTAAGACCCTAAACACCTGTCAGAGTTGACACACCTCCTGGTGAAGCTCTCCATCAGCACACCCAGTATACCATACAGAATCACTCTAGTATATAGCTATTAAAATTACCAGCAACACAAGAATCCATTCCAAATAACTCACAATGTAGCCGACCAGTCATATCCACATGGACTTCCTGAGGCCACAGAGCTTGTCTATGGGGAGCAACATCACTTTCATGTCCTAATGTTGACATGGTTCCAAGAAGTTCCAAGAACTAATGAATTGAGCCAGATAAAAACATTAGAGAAGAACTATTTGGCTATGATCAAAGGTCATATTTTTATGATCAAGGGTCATAAAAGGTAGCTTGTGTGAGGCTGAGAAAGAACCTGGACAACTCCCACAAGTAGCCGTTCTTAGGAGCACAGCTCTGTGTGTGGAGTTAAGGTGAGGAAAGGTGATAGGTGAGACCTTGGGGCAAGTGAATTGCAGGGTCTGCCTGACCCAAGTCCCAGCAGGTATGACAACAGCAAGCTGTTGGTCACTATCACAGCAGCTATGGCTGTGGTATAAGGTTAACTAAAGTGTCTGAAAGTGTCTAAGGAAGACACTTTATTCTGTGTCAAAATAAAAACAAAGGGCATGCTACACATTCTTCAGGGTGAAGCTACAAAACCCTTTCAGATCAGTGCACCTTCTAACACTTCAGCAACCACAGATGATAACTAAAGAGGAATCACTCCCATTATGCAGCCAACCTCAGGAGGCACCCATTCCTTCTCTTCTAGGATGTCCATCTAGCCTAGAAGACCAGGGGACCCATGTATGACAGGACTTGTGCGATCGCCTAATTGCTCTCCCAGCCTTCAGCTCCTCTCTCCCTCCACACTTTGTGTTTCACCATTGGGGTTTTTTCTTCCATTAATTGTTCTGTTGCACTGTGCCCCACCCCCTCACTCAACAGAGTCTTACTGAGGGCCTGTCAGGAGTCAAGCATATGTGAGGTAAGGGATACAATAGAAAGGTAAACTGAACCATCAGGGATGCTGTAGTCCAAGTGAGAACACATCTTCAGTACTGACTGAAATACTGGTCACATCAGCAATTGCAGCAGCAACACTCCTCCAAATAAACAAGAATCATAAACAAATGAGGTATGCTTTTTCTGAAATTGACCCATGACTGGACATAGCTAATGCAGAATCGCAAGGTTCAAAACTTTTATTCCTTAGCCATAACAGAGATGTGGACAGACTAAGCTAATAAATAAATGTTACAAAAAATTTACACATGTGCAATATGAACCACAGATTGGTATCTTAGTAAGTTCTCTGTCCTGAGAATAAAAGAAAACAAGTATCCATCCCACATGTTGATTCTCTGTGGAAGTTGGAATGAGAACAGCTGTCCCATTATTTTGTCCTTTGGGTGGTCTTTTTTTTGGGGGGGGTTACTGGGGATTGAACCCAGGGCCTGGAACATGCTAGGCAAGCACTGTACCACTGTACCACATCTCCAGGCCTTGGGTCACTATTTTGAAATGCATTTCTGAGCTTGGAACTCTACCCAGGATGCCAGAATCATTCTTGCTAGTAAGGAAGCAAAAGGGGAAAATTACTAACAATTCCGAAATATGATCACTCAAAAATACAGGACAAACCATTCATAATCCGTGCCTGGGTTGTCTATGACACATGTGCAACCCCAGGCTGGTTGTCTCCACCATTCTTTTAGCTAACCTCCAAGGTCACCTTTGTTAGGTCTACCTGTCCTTCCAAGGCTGGCTCAACTCTCTCCTTCCTCCCTGAAGAAAATGTTGCCTTCATTAATAAAAGTTCGATCTAGAATCCTCAACGTTGGCTCAGAAAGTATCTCTTAGGGAGAAAAGAAAACTGACATAAGCCATACCTCTTGTCTTGTGTGACATCTCTCTCCACAGATCACTGCCACCACTACCCTGGGCCCTGACATTGGGGAGGAGAGAATGCTCTACCATTAACACTCTGGTTTAACTGCAAACACAAAATCCTAGGCTTCCTCACAGCACAGCCAAGGAATGCCTGGAGTTTCCAAACCCTGCTCTACTGAGGCATGGGAACAAAAAAAATAGCACCCAGAGCAGTGTTACATACTTTCCACTTCCATGGAAGAAGTGTGAAAACCACTGTTGACACTCTGATAGAAATAGAGAGAAATGATGAAAAAGAAATGAATAAAGCATGTTTACTTTTTGTACACCTGAGATATTATTCTCCCTCCTTCCATCTCTTCCCAAAGAAAGACTCCTTTCTTAGATGTCTCTTTGTTCCTTTTAACTTTGAAATTCACCCCAATGACTAGCACATGAAAGGTCAGAAACACATTGCCTGATGCAGCGTAACAGAAGAGTTAGGTTGGGGTATGCAATGGTCGTTGACCCTGTGGCCTCTGGTGTCCATGGTCTGAGTTCTTATCCCAACTGCAGCACCCACTAGCTGTGGGCTGTGGCCAAGTGACCCAAGCCCTCATTTTGCCCACCATAAAATGGGGGTGATAACAGCGGCATCGAATAGAATTTATGTGGAGGCTTAGAACAGCACCTTCCATAATTTAAGTGCTCTGTAAGTATTAAACACACGATCATATCCTTCAGTGACTGCATTGCCCTTCTCCTTTTCCAAAGACTGCATTCAAAAGAAGCGTTGCGCTTTTTGCCTTGAGTTTAAAGATCCTTGGACACACCTGTCTCATGAATCTATCATTCCCTACTCCACCTCTGAGACTGGCAGAATTCAGTCCCTCCCTAACTTCCAGGGGTCCATTTTCCTTGGAAGCAGTTTAAAATACTAAGATTCAAGCGGAGTAGAAGCAGGTGTGGCTGCCGTACCTCTGAACCCCATGGGTCCACACACTGGTGCTCCGTGGCAAAATCACTGTGTTCTTCTCCCCTGTGCGCCAACAGCTGTGTGGGAAGGAATTCAACCGAATGCACAACCTGATGGGTCACATGCACCTGCACTCGGACAGCAAACCCTTCAAGTGCCTCTACTGCCCCAGCAAGTTCACCCTGAAGGGGAACCTCACGCGTCACATGAAGGTCAAGCACGGAGTTATGGAGCGGGGCCTTCACTCTCAAGGTATCCCCCTGCTAGGAAGCCCCTGAGCCAGGAGTGGAATTTGCTTGTGCTGGGCATTCCTTTGGGGGTGTTCTGCTTGTCAAAAAGGGAAAATAATTTTCAAGCCCACAGCGGTATAGCAGGAGCAGATTTAGAATGTTACTAGAAAAAGTGTAATGCTGATACCTGAAGGATAGAAGTGAAAAGAGAATCAGAGAGAGTACATTTGGAGCATAATAATGGGGCCAGTCCCTTTGTTCCAGAACTGCACCAGATGCCTTATCTCCTTAAGCCTTCACAGCCACTCCTGGCTGGAGGAACTTTTATTTCTATTTTAAAGATGGGAAACAGGCTTCCAAAGTTGCTCAGTCTCAGGATTTGAACCCAGACCTTTCTGACTGTTTCTTTATTGTGTCTACTTCCTCACATTGCTGTTACAGGGCATGTGATTTTTCTTTCCTATTTGTGGGGTTTTGAGATGGGGTCTTGCCGAGTAGCCCAGACAGGGCTCAAACTCCCATTCCTCCTGCCTCTGCCTCTCAAGTGCTGAGATTACAGGCATGCACCGCCACACTGAGCAGTATTTCTCTCAGGCGAGGTTACCCCCTCCTGGTGCACCCAAGGATGGTGTTCCTGCTGATGAACCTACACAGCAGGGGTTTATGTTCCCCTACACTGGGTCATAACTAATGAAAAGCTCGGCCTGCTTTATCTTCTCGGTCCCAGAGCCCTCAGCAGTGAAGAGTTTGTGTTCCAAATCCACTGAAGGCAGCAGGCTCGCTCCTTAGTCACCTAATCAGCCACTCCTTCAATAAACAGGCAATAAACGCAGCCCATACCAACAACTCCGTGAGCTGAAGTGCACAGTGGCAGAGCCTGGGGAATGAGGCTATCTTTGCTCCATGGGTTGGTGTGCAGGAGAAAAGACAGCTCTATATGTAATTTACAAAATCATATTTACTGCTTTTTGACTACTAGAATGATTCAAGTGCAGGCCAGACATTTTAGGGGCACTGTTGCTCCTAAAATGGAAACAGTCTTTCCCTGAGAAAGACCGGTACTTACTTCCATTTTATGTAAGAGGAGACCACCAGCCTAGAGGTGTTAGAGAAATGCCAGAGGTCAAAAGCAAGTCTGAAGGCAGAGCTGGGATCCCAACTCAAGAATTTCTGAATCGATCCCTGTTCAGCACCCCAGTCAAAAACACAGGGTGATTTGTTTGTGGTTTCTACTTGTACAGGTAGCAAGTTGGATGCACAAATTCCTATATAAGACACTCACTGCACGTAACAAAATGATTGTAGCTTTCAAGTTTTTCACAGCACCCTGAGTTTATGACGACTCCTGGCTGGTAGACAACTGTAGTGATCACAGATAAAGGCTGGAGTTTGTGCAAAAGACTTGAAATAATTCTTTCTTTTTCTTCCTCTCCCTTCCCCTCCTCCATGCTTTTCTCTTGAATTTTGCACTGAATCTCTTGTTGTCCAAGCAGCTTCCCAAGCTAGGTCTGGATTTTTTCCAAAAGAGGCAAAGTTTGGTCCCTCATTGGGGCAGGAGGAGCCTGTCCTCTATCTGAAAGCCAGGACTGGTCACTAAGACCTACCCCATACTGGTGCTCACATCCCAACAGGTGCCTAGTGACTCTGTCATCTGGGAAAATAATTTTAAAATAAAGTGAGAAATGCTTGAAAAGTGAAGAGAAAAAGTAAGAGACACCTCAGGGGGAGGGGCCTGCACTATAAAAATATACTGTGTGGCTGTACCATTATGTGTTTAACAAAAACTTCAGTGCCAAAATTGTTTCACAGTCTCCCTGTAATTTCAAAAGCATGCCAATCAACATCCTTATATTCTGTGCTCCTGCCTCCTGAGGCTTTGCGGCTCTTTAAATTCTTCATGGTGCCATTGCTCAGTTGAAGCTTGTTTTTAAGGTACATGAGGCCAAATTCCCCTTAAAGGAGTTATACCAATTTAGTCACTGTCTGTGACAAACCTGCCATGGATACCCTTACTGGGAATGACCTATTAATAGACAATCAGAATATATGGATCCTTTGGGTTCCTATATAATTTATATATAAATATATTATTTATATTTATTTATATCTATATATGTATTTGGTGGCACTGGGGTTTGAACTCAGGGCCTCATGTTTCCTAGGCAGGTGCTCTTACCACTTGAGCCACTCTGCCAGCCTGTTTCTTTCTTTCTTTTTTTTTTTCATTTATTCATATCAGCCTGTTTCTTATGATGGTTTTTCTCAAGATAGGGTCTCTCAAACTGTTTGCCTGGGGCTAGCTTTGAACTGTGATCCTTCTGATCTTTGCCTCCTGAGTTGCTAGGATTATAGGTGTGAGCCTTTTCACACTTTTCCAGTGCCTGAAGTCTCTCTGCTCTGCAGGTTTAGGAAGGGGGAGAATTGCCCTGGCACAGACTGCGGGTGTCCTGAGGAGTATGGAGCAGGAGGAGCCCTTTGACCTGTCCCAGAAGCGTGGGGTGAAGGGGCCGCTGTTCCAGTCGGACGGGGAGAGTGCCCGGGGCAGCCCCTGCCATGAGGAGGAGGAGGATGATGAGGACAACTGCTGCGAGGTGGAGCCCCAAAGCCCCAGCCTGGCCCCCCAGAGTCAGCAGCTCTGCACACCCCAGGATCTGTCCACCAAGCCTGAGATCCCCAGCCAGGAGCTAGGAGAAGCTCGCAAGGATGGGAAGGAGGCTGAGCCCCCAGAAGAACAGGAGGAGCGGAGCAAGGACGACCATGAGGCACGGGCAGAGGGTGGCCAGGAGAGAGACTGTGCCCGCAGAGACGCGTGCATGGGTCTGGGGTTTTTCCAGAGCACCCGGCGGGGCCCCTCTTTTTCTGATTACTTATACTTTAAGCACAGAGATGAGAGTTTAAAATTACTGGAGAGGAAAATGGAAAAACAAGCAGTGCTCTTGGGTATCTAAGTGGATAGTTTTTAAATTGCATTTGGAAAATGAGAACTAGGCAGTTCAAATACAGCTTTCTGCATGAACTGTCATTTGCTGAGGACTGGCAAGTGCCACCAATCTTTACAGATAGCTCAGACTAAATGAGCAGGAAATATAAATCCTTCTCAGGTCATTCCTTGGGCCCTTCATACTTTTAACACACAGGCAGTGTCTTCTCCTGTGTTATTTTATACATCACCTATGTAATAAACTGTGCGTATTCCTCTAGATATCTAATTGTAAGCTCAGGTGCTTCTAGAAATTCTGTTTTCCTGTGACTAACGTCCTGCCTCACATGGTAAACTTCCTTTTAGCTGAAAAACTATGGTGCTTGACATACTAGCTGATTAATAATTATTTAGTTGAACTTGTGAAAGTTACAATATTTTGCTAGATGAAAATATTAGTAGTTGTATATATAAAAATAGCCTTTATTAAATAATACAAATACCAGAAATGCCACAGGAGGCTGAGCTATGGAAAAGGATATTCTCTAGGAGTTGCCGTAGATGTAAGATGCAATTTCGGAAGGTGCATGGTTTTGACAAAGGGAAAACCAGAAAAACTTAGATCCTCCTTGGGTCTCTTGTTCTGCTTCAGCTTCCTTGGTCCGGTGGGGTATTGGGAGCATATTTGCAGATGACTGGACAATGCTCAGGGGTCCCAGCTCTTCAGAGTGACCCCTCAGGTCCTGAGCGGAGCTCCCTCCCACAGAGCCTTGCTTTGAGGCCTCAGCCCTTGCAAGTGGCGGCAGAGAGAGTTGTCCCAGTGAGCATGGGTCTCTCCTGGGTGCTGGAGCTCAGGGATGAGTGGAGGAATTCTTCTTGAAACAAGCTATGTTTATTTGAGGGATTCGAAAATTCATCAGCCAATGACTACAAAAAGACCTGGCCTGTGCTCTCAGTGCTGGTGCAGAGACTCACTCGGGGGGAGCCTTTAAGGAAATACCCTGATTCTGGTTTCATTTGCCATAGTGACTGTGAAACCAGCATTGGTAACTTCCAAATTGCCCCAGGTGCCTCTGTGTACAGCCTCAGCTAAGAAAGATCCACTGGGTTCCAATAACCCTCACTCATTTCTATGTCACCTGTGACACCTCCCCTCCCATGATCCCCTCTCAGGGACACTACAGATATTCTGATTCTGGCTTCAGAGTCACTGAGTTAGAGGATGGAAGCCTGCATTCATAATGCTGACTAAGGTCTTTGTACCTGTTCTGTAAGAGCCTGGGGGTGGGGTGAGCACACATATACACACTCCATCTAGATACACACATGTTATACAAGACAATGCCTGTGATGTTCAGTGGCTACTTAGTAGGTTGAAAAGTGCATAGTGACAATGGTGGCTTATGGTGACTAGCTTTTCCTGCCCACTTGTTAGAGCCTTGAGGACTATGATGGGTGGGCTGGGCCCATTGGGTAGGCCTTCTTAGGCACTGGCACAGAACAAAGAGATACTGAGAAGTTGCTGCAAATGTGAGGCTGTGACCCTTGGGAGGTACAGCCTCTTGGTTGGGAGTTTCAGCACTTGCTGGTAGAGCTGGGTACTGCTGATTACTTTGCTTCCTCTTCTCCCAAACTTCCCAGCTCATTTCTTTGGAAGGCCTGGTCCATCTCTAGCTTTTCCTGTTGGCCAAGGTACTTTCCCATTAGCCTCACTTAGTTGTCATTATTCACCTATGTGCTTTGGCATTCTCTCACCCATTTCAAATGCTACTTTCCTAAACGCATTGCTACCACCCTGAAATGCTACAGGCACTTGGCTTTTCTACTGTCACCCATGACTCAAGGTCAGAGACCCTGCAAAGGAGATTGTGGGTTTCTATGGCTACCAGCACACCTCTGGGCTGAGAACTGTTCCAAGTCCTCAGAGGGGCAAGTTGCCTTCTACTCACTATGAACAGATAGCTCCTCAGTGCCTTTGATGAAAGTTCCCAAGAATCTGGCAGAGTGGTTGGTTAGACTGTCAGCTCCTACAGTCCTATTTAATGGGTACTCAGCGGCCATGTATGGAGGCTGTGCCTGCCTACATGTACTACAGATTTTGGTTACTTCTGGTATGCCTGGCTGGAAGAGGAGTCAGGAAAATTGAGAGTAGCAGACTCTAGTCCTTCCCAGCCAGAGCAGATCTCATGGGAATGTTTGAGGAACCAGTTATGTTGAGTTGGAGAGAGTATAGTCTAGAGTGGTGGTTTTCAAGTTCTGTATGGAGATGCCAGGGGCCCCTCATAGGCCTCAGTGGAACTGCTGAGCGATCTCAGCACCCATCCTCATTCAGCAGCTCAGGTTTCATCTCTGGTAGCATTGTAGGTAAAATTTCACTTGGAAAGAAAAGGTCTAGGGAAGGTAACAAAAATTTGTTATGGGATGTATTCCAAGGCCTGTTTTCATTTTGAACTCTAGGTATGAGAAGCTTAGTGATCACTAATCAGATGGACAGTACAACACTGGGCTGAGATCCAGGGCTAAAAGCTTGCTTTCACATATCAAATAACCAACATCCTGGTTTCCCAGGACAACCCTGGTTTATACCTGTTGTCCCAGAGTAATTACTAATGGTGTCCCCTTGATTCTCAAATGCATTGCAGCTTGGGTGATAAGTTATGTGGACTCCCTGTGTGTGAGTACAGAGCTAGGGGAAGGGCTGGCCTATCTTTCTTGATGAGCTCATTATCTAGAATGTAAGCCTGCAGGAGGACCTGTGGGCCAATCCTCCGAGAATGAAGGAATGGAGTCATCCAAGGATACCAGCTGCCCAAGGCCGTGACCTTCATCACTTTGTGACACTCTGAAAATAGGTCACAACCGAATGCTTTTCTGGCTTATGACTGCTGTCACTTTGAACCAACCAGTGGACAAGTGGCATGTTTTCCTTTATCCTTTGTAGGCCTATGATTACCCCTCTTGTTGCCTTTCAATTCCTCTTTCATTCTCTCTTTTTAAAAATTTGACTCCCCATCGGCCATAAGAATGAAGCTGACCTTTCACAAGCCAACAAGAGCAGCTGGTATATCTGTATATGAGTAGTTGCACAAGAAAGTTCAATGTGCATACCGTATTTATTAAGTCCTGAAGGCATTTAATAAAATATTAACATTGTACTTTGAATTATAATCTTTGTCTGCTTTGCTGGAACAAAATGTAACAGAGTTAACATTTAAAATCCTTCACATATTTGGACAACATTACATACACCAAATGTTAATCTTGTACAGATTTCTGGCTTGCTATTTAAAAACTCAAACTCCAAGTGGATAGAAAACCTAGTTGTGAATATTGCTTTCTGTTTCAGTGAAAAGGCAGTTTACCTGGAAGTAGCATGTAACCTATATTTTGTTAATTTAAGCAAATAAAGCCATGTTGAAAAAAAACTGTGTTAATTATTTGCAAATACCTGAAAATTGTCAAGGCAGCTGCCATTGTCAACATCTCACTACTGCCATTATACCCACTGCCAGGATGGTTTCTAGTGGGTGGTTCCTCAGCCCCAGGCTTCACAAAGGATTAGTCAGCCTCGGGGCAGGTGACATTTTACCCATTCTTTTCCTCTTTCCTATTCAGAAAAAGAAATTATTCTGGAAGGACGTCACAGGCAACTGAAGGGAAGAGGCAGTGTCACCTCATTCTGCTTTAAGTTCTTTACAAAATGAAGCTCAACCAAGAAGCAGTAAACTCCAGTGATCAGAGCACTGGCTCTGGCCAGGCTGCCTGGGTTCAGAACCCTGCTTGCCCACTTCCAGTGTCTGGGACCTGAGACCAGTTCCTGAACCATTCTGTGTCTCAGTTTCCTCATCTATAAAGTGAGACTAAGAGCAGCACCTTCCTCACTGGCTTGTAGCATGGGTTAAGTGACTCAGTAAGCACAAGACTCTTAAAATATGCTGGGCTCACATCTTATGCTATGTAAGATTCAGGCACGGTCGTTGTCAACTCCATGGCCAGAAAACTGGGCACTCAGATCTCCATCTCCACTGACAGCTCACAAAGCTGCACTGGCATGGGAGAGGGTCCACTGGAGGAGCTGCCCTTTAAATCAGTAAAACTGTGACACATATGGAACGCAGTCCGTTATGTACCAAGAACATGTGAGGTGTTTACACACGCTATTTCATTTAAGCCTCAACCCTGCAAGGCCATCATTCCTCTTTACTGAGGAAAAAATGGGAATTCAGGAGAGCGGCATCACTTACCCGAAATTTCCTCATCAGTGAGTTTCTCCCTTAAGGCACATGGTCTGTTGCAGGTTTGGGTCTCTGGAAGCAGATGCGGAGACAAACTTGGGTGCAAGATGTTTATTAAGGATCAACTCCAGTGAAAAGAAGGGGAGGAAAAAAGATTGAGCAAAGACTTAATCGCATCATGACTAAGCCTTAGCCAGTATGGCAGGCAGCCTAGGGTACAGATTGCCCATCAGGGTTGTGCCAGGTTGGGCGGAAATACCCAGACATTTACATCCCTGCCCTGTTCAGTCACCAGAGGTGAGCTGCCTCAAGAAGAGTGTGCCCTCTGCAACTGGAGCCAGCTCTGAGGAGTGGCACCTCACTGGAGTCTGCTGCTGACTGCACTTTCACGGCAGGTGCACGTCCTTCCTTGGAGAGAGACCAGGTGACTCATCTCTGCATCTCCTGCTGTCCATCTCTGGCATCCCATAGGCTACTTCCTCCTGGAGATTCATAGAGATTTTCTGGCAGGGTTCTAGTAGGCCTTTCTTTCTGATGGAAAATGAAGAGGAAGGTTAGACAAACTTCAGCTCCCACAGCTGCAATGTGTCTAGGAACCAAAACCGATCCTCATTTTCCATAGCATATTACCCACTGCTATCATTTCACTGTGTCCCCTAAGGTTCGTGTATTGGAACTTAACCCCCAAGTTTACAGTTTAATGCATGTGGAGGTAAGGACTTTGAGGCAATTAGGGTTAGATGAGGTGATAATGGCATTAGTGGCTTTATAAGAAGAGAGAGACCTGAGTTAGTACACTTGATACACTTGATCTGTATCGTTACATGATGCCCTCTGCTACGTAGCAAGAAGGCCTTCGTCTGATGAGACTAGGCTCTTGGACTTTCCAGCCTCTGAAAGGGTGAACTAAATAACCCTCTATTCCTTATAGATCATTCAGTCTCAGATATTCTGTTATAGCAACATGTAGACTAGGGCTCCCAACTGAGAGTCTCCTCATCACAAAGGAGACAGTCTCAGTGGCTTTCCTGGTGGCATCATACAGATCCTTATCCACAAGAGGACTGAGCCCTGGTCACCAAGCTGCTATGGACTGAATGTTTGTGTCCCTTCAAAATTCAAATGTTGAAACCATAATATCCAATGCGATGATATTTGGAAGTGGGAAGCTGAGACTGGAAGGATCGTGGTTCGAGACTAGCCCCTGCAAATAGTTGGTAAGACTCTATCTCCAAAATAACCAGAGGAAAATGGACTGGAGGTGTGGCTCAAGTGGTAGAGCACCTGCTTTGCAAGCAGGAAGCCTTGAGTTCAAACTCCTCTTTCTTTCTCTCTCTCTCTCTCTCTCTTTCTCTGCCATGTGACAGTGAAGCTGTCTAGAAGCCAAGAAGTAAGCTCTTACCAGATACCAAATATGTCTGCATATTGACCACAGATGTTTCAGCCTCCAGAACTATGTGAAACAAATGCTTATTGTTTAAGCTGCCCAGTCCATGGTATTTTGTTATAGCAGCCCAAAATGACCAAGACTTGTGCCTCTCCCAGAATAGGATTGCTGTTCTTGTTCATTTACAATCACAAGTGGTCAAGGAAGTACCAAAAGAAACCCAAGTGAATCATCCACCTTCCACACTACTCTTCCCTGACCCATTGTGGAAGAACAGCCCTACCTCCTCCTTATGATCAGGTCAACTACCTCTGCCAAGATGGCAGCTTCTGTCCTTGACTGCTGGTCTCTGGAGGCATGGAACAAATGTGCGCAGGTGGCAGCCATAGCTTATAACTCAATGATACTTTGTCTGTGTTCCCCAGGTGAAAGTGTGCTCTCTTCTAACCCTGCAGAAACAGCCCAGAGTTACAATGATAAGAAGCACAACCCCCCTCCCCCCATTTGTTATTGGGAGTGATGACATGTGGAGCTACTCCTGTGTCTGCCTGTAGGGTCTCAGGACCCATGCAATGTTCCTACTGAGGACATAGCACCATGTAAAAGTCTTTGACTTTTACAGTCCATATCCTCCAGTGCATACTCTGGAGGCTAGCATTCCACTCTTATAGATTATTTCCTCCAAGAAGTACTCTAGGGAGTGGGCTATCTCTGGGTGGTACACATGCGGCATCACTAGTAGGTCCTTTGGCCATGGGTCCATCTCTGCACCTCATTTACTGTAAAATGAAGCTTGTAGTTTGATGTGATGGCATGTGGGTTCTGAGCCCGTAGAACAAACACTCCAAACCCCACCCCTTGCATAATAGTGCTGGATAAGTTCCTATGTATCTATTCCTGTGCCAATGGACTGCTAGAACTTCAGGATGAAAGGAACTGAACTAGTCAACCTTTCACCAAGTGATTGGTTGCTCTTCTTGAGCAATGGTGTCAGTCCTCATGACTGGCTTGC